AATAAACTTTAGACCATATTCCAATAAGTTAAGCTCATGCTCACTTAAGTTAATATGTCCAATCTTAAATACATGGTCCGAAATTCTAAATAGCTCATCCGAAATTGTACGTGAATCATGTCAGTTACTGGTAGATCGACTCCTATTAGGAGCCGTATCACTATCAAATGTAACGCTATAATTCTTTTGAATATGAAACTTTCTATTGTCATTACTGCTACTCCTATCGTATTTGTTTGTATTACGCCACATATGACGGTGAGTGAAGCGTCGAGACGCAGGTAACTGTGCTTGTACAGAGGTAGTCGGTCTGGTTGAATTTTGATTAAATGAATAGTTAGAATCCGTGTTAGTATGTGAAGGATGGTCATTATCGTGTGTCGAGTCATCCGTACGACCTATTCGTTTCAATTCATCCACCATCGGATCGCAAGAAGTGTCCATTAAAGATGGTTGAGATACCTTTTTAATTTTCTTACAAAATTCCTCGGAATGTTTTCGTCCGTTGCAAAATGAGCAAATCGCAAAACATCTCGACTGTATGTGACCATCCTTACCACATCCAAAACATGATACTCTTGGACGATGCAATTTCGCATGAAGAGGAACGTTCTGAGTATTAGGCAGGTCGTTACTCCCCAATATATTTTGCATCGAAGAAGATGTCACATCATCCGACGATTCATTTTTTGTTTTCCGAGGAGTTATTTCTCGCATTTCTAGACGGAATACTTTGTTCCATGAGCTTTCAATAGTTTCTTTCAATTTTACACTTTCCTCTCTTTCCACATCCATCATTTCTCGTTCTTTTCTCATTTCACACAACTTCTCTCGTAGTAATTCACATTTCGCTTCGGCTTCCGCAATCGTTCGTTCGATAGCTTGTGCCTCGCATTTCAATAGATCTTTACTAGCGTTTTGAATAATATTTAACCATTGTTGCCTAAGTTTCGGATCATCCGCACCAAAATTTTGTTTTGGTACATCGATTTGGAGTGACTTAGGAAAAAGGTTATTTTCACGATAGTATACGTTTAGTGCTAAGTGATTTCTAAACCGATAATATCGACTATATTCGTTACGGTATTTTCCTATCGCGTTCTCCTCTTCTTCGACAGCCGTAAACGCTGTTTGAATAACCATATGTCGACTTTTACCGTTGCATATACGGCAATAATCCTCTTGTCGATGGTTCAATTCACAACTCTCTCGTTTACATAGTTTATTATTATGTACTCGGGCTTTACATCGTTAACCACCATTCTTTATATAATCTAAAACCTTCAATGTTTTCCTCTATTCCATCTTGTTCAGTGGTTGATATCTCAAAGGTTAGATCCGTTTGGGCCTCCGAATCAACCCACCGACGTGAAGAGAGAAGAGGAGCACATATACTAATCGGAGATGTATGAACTGTAGTAGTTGTAGTTACACTATTAGAGTTATTTCTGACTGTTTTATCAGTAATACCACCAGTCCGTATAGGAAAGGAAGTTGAAGTCATATTATTAGTGTTTACTGATGTAGATGGAGGAATTATCTCTATTCTATCCCCCAGTGAGGACGTCAACTGTGGAGGAACTGTAACCAGTTCCACATTATTATTATTAACCGAAGTCAATGTTACAAGTTGATCATGAGCCAGCGTATTCTCCTCCTGCTCATCTAAAAAACACAGTTGTGAAGAATTCGGTGTGTTTGTAACTAAAGAGGCTTCTGAATTGTTATATTTTGCTAATTCATCCGCATAAGTAGCACTCATATGGGATTGCAATGATCGATGAAAATACTCTGTTACAAAGCCCAACTGCATCTTATTTAACCATGACGGTGAATGAGTAATGGCTTCTTCATTCAACAATATTAGTAATTTATGAATTGTACCATTCTCAATTCTAATACCAGTACTTGCCGAGAATCTATCAAACGTATCAGGTGGTATCTTATTCAATTCTCTCAGAAAACTGCCCCAATTTTGGTGTACATATGTCTTATCTCTCTTAATCTTTGCATATGCCAAACGTAACCAATGCGCACAACTTTTTTGAACTAAATCAGTATCCATATAAAGATATTGAATTATTATTAAGAAAAACACAAAAAAAAGAGATAGAGAGCTCTCAGAAGGAAATACTCTTAATAAACATATACAAAAAAAGGAAATTGTCTTTCTTTTACCGTACGATTCGTTGTGCAGACGAATAATCGAGAATTTTCTTCTTGCTCTAATTCCTAATTAATGCCAATGTAAAAATTATAACAACCAAAAATTGATAAATTGATAATAATTTGAATAGAAGTATTCAACGTATAAATAAATTGGGCTAATTAATGATAATAACGTAAGAGCCGATCACTTAGAAAAAATAAAGAAACATGACCACGGCGGCCAAATCGTTATGGCAATTATTCAAATTGTCAAACAAAGAGAAGAGGTGGGTTGATTTAAAAGACACAACCGGTTTCGACTTAGAAAAGTCCTTATCAAGTATAAAAACCAACTTTGGTTCTCTTTATAATGTGTTTAATATAAGCTGTCTGTAAAGCCGTGAAAAGTGGGCGGCTTATTTCACGGTGATCATCCTGTGCTCCACACTTGTCCACTAACCACGACGATATATATACCGTTCGATAGAGGATTTCTCGCGCAACAAGTTCATATATACAAAGTATTGAGAAAAGTGTCCTGGGACCCCGTTCATATTAGAAATACTGTCTGTACAGCCGCGAAAAGCGGACGGCTTATTTCACGGTGACGATTGCGTACCTCACACTTGTCCACTAACCATAACGATACATATACCATTCGATAAACCGTTTCTGGCACTACCAGTTCACATATGCAAAGTATTGAGAAAAGTGTCCTGGGACCCCTTCACACTAAAGATACTGTCTGTAAAGCCGTGAAAAGTGGGTTGCTTATCTCACGGTGACAATCCCGTGCTCCACACTAGCCCGCTAACCACGACCATACATATACGATTCGACAGAGAATTTCTCGCGCTACAGGTTCATATCTAAAAAGTATTGGGAAAAGTGTCCTGGGACCCCTTCACATTAGAAATACTGTCTGTACAGCCGCGAAGAGTGGGTGGCTTATTTCACGGTGACGATCCCGTGCCCCACACTTGTCCACTAACCATGACGATACATATACCATTCGATAAAGCATTTTTCGTACTACCAGTTCACAGGTACAAAGTATTGAGAAAAGTGTCCTGGGACACCTTCACATTGGAAATACTGTCTGTAAAGCCGTGAAAAGTTGGCGGCTTATTTTACGGTGACCATCCTTTACCCCACACTTGTTCCATTGACTGTAAGTCTATGGTCATATGAAAAAAAGTTGGTCATAGGAAAAAGTAGAAAGTGTTTGTGTGTGTGTATAATATATGTATATTGGTGTGAGTATGTATGTGTTTGTATGTATGGGTAAATACCCTACATCGGGAAACACAAATCACTTATGAAAAGTAATTTTTTTAAAAAAATTAATAAACTTTTTGGTAACCTAATGGTTCTACGACTAAGAGAATGTCTTTTTTCAATCTAACCTTGAGCATCTAAGAAGCTCCGTTTTTCAGATCGGTTCTAGTGGAAGGATTCATATGGTACTGCTGAACTGTCTCATTTCCGTCGATGAGTAATATTATCTTTATTAAGAATTGGCTGTAACACCTCTCGCCAATAGTCTTCCCTAGCTTGTCGATGTTCTAAACCTTGGTATCCACTTTCAAACGGAATGATTTCTAGATCTCTCATTGAGTGATTGTGAGTACTAAAGTGTATACCTATATTCGTTTTTCTTATCGTTCTTACTTGAGAAAGGTGTCTTATTAAACGATAGTGTCCAGAGTTTCCCGATTCACCCACATATTCCGCAGTACATCGTTTACATCGGATATAGTAGCAGATATTCGTTGTTCGACAGGTAATATATTGTCGAATCTTTATCTCTGTCTCAAAAACAGTACCAAAAAAAGACGAACATTCTCTACTGTATTTACAACAGGAGCATCCTACTCGGTGGCATTTAAAAAATCCGATATTCTGATGCATCTGTGTTGGGACTAAATATTTGAGGTTTCCCGTATATTCTCGATGTACAAGTATCTGTTTCAGATTAGGGGGACATTTGTAGACAAATCTATACTTCGACCAGTCTACTGTGTGTTTCGAGTAG